AATGAGATAAGATATAAATAATCTAACAGTGCCAAGCACATATTAAGTATTGTTGCTTATAATAATAATTATTATAATCCCTAGGAAGCACTATGTTTCTCATCGTGGTGGGTTTTTTAAAGTTTTCTATGGCTCCTGTAACAAATACCATAAACTTGGCATCTTAAAACATGCAGTATTTATCTACTTTCAATTTGGAAGACCAGAACTCTGAAATCAGTTTCACTGGGCCAACATGAAGGTGTCAGCAGGGCCAGGCTTGCTCCAGGCTCTAGGGGAGAATTCATTCCTTGCTTCTTCCAGCTTCTGTGGCTGCTGCCATTTCATGGCTCATGGCTGCATCACTTTGGTCTTGGCGTCTGTGGTCATGGTGCCTTCTGTGATGCCTTCTTCCTCTCTCTTACAATGATTCTTATATTTACAATTTAAGGTCCCTCTAGATTATTTAAAATAATCTTTACATCTCAAGATCATTACCTTGATCACATCTTTTTCCATGTAAAGTAATATTCAGTTTCCAGGTGTTGGGAAGTCATTATCTTTGGTGGATCATTATTTAGCCTATCACAATGGTATTTTGGCATAGACAGATTTTTCTTTTCATTATTAGAAAATTTTTTATAGCATTCTGTGACTTACTGATCAATCATAGTATCTGTCCTTTGGGGGTATCTTTTTCTGAAAATAGAACAGATTTTAAATAATATATGACTTAGAGGTAAAATAATTATTTCCAAATAGCAATCCACACTATTTACTGAATAATAATTATCTTGATATAACAAACTGCAGCCAAATTGTTTTTTGGCTTCATTTAGTTCCAGGTGTTCATTTTGTAGGCTTCTGCAATGTGTTATGCTGTTTTATTTATTATGGCATTAAAATATAGCTTTCTAGCTGACGAATTAAGTCCCTTTCTATTATTTATTTTCAGTTTTCCTGGAGAATGACTCTTCTGCTGTTTTCTTTGCCATTGGGTATTGCAACTTAAACAAATTCCTTAATGGGGCTGGGGATTTAGCTCAGTGGTGCTGCTGCCTGCCTCACAAGTGCAAGGCCCCAAGTTTGATCCCTGGTACCAAGAAGAAAAAAAAAAAGAAATTCCTTACTATCATTTTACTGTACCTTTGGAAGAAGAGTATTTATGGAATTATCTGCCTGCTATGATGGCCTGCTCATCCAATTTCTCTTTTTGTTTTTCTTTTTTTCTGGTGATTTAACTTACCTGTCTCCATTGAGATTTTCTAATTTTCTTTTTGAAATCATATGGAAATTTAATTCCAGACATATATATCTGACAGACTGATGGATACAGATATACAGCAATATCTTCTTATCCATAGGGAATATTGTTCCAGGATCCCCAGAGGATGCCTGAAATCACAAATGATACTGAATCCTATCTAGACTATATTTTTTCCTATACATACAAACCTGCCATAAAGTTTGATTTATAAGTTAGGCATAGCAAAAGACTAACAACAATAGCTAATAATAAAAAAGGGCAAGTGTAACAAAATACTGTGGTAAAAATGTGAATGTGATCTCCCTCTTTCTCTCTTTTCAAATCTGTAACTTCACCGTACTCGCCCTTTTTTGTGTTGACCATGGGTGACTGAAATGGTAGAAAATAAAACTGCACATAAGGGGAGGAATACTTTCTATTTAAATCACTTAAATCTTATCTTTCAAAACTTTTAACCATTAAGATTTATAATGACATTATCAGTTATGTACTTAATTCTATATTTCATTGGCTTTACTTCTTATCAAATTTTCTTATATAGCATATCTCTTCTTGAATTCATTATTCTGGCTTACTTTTTCCCTTGCCTAGAAGAGCTCTTTGAGTAATCTTTAATTTTTTAAAATAAAGGCTATTTGTGTGATATGATTTATATGCCTTTGAGCATACCTCTATTTTATCACCACCCAGAGGGAAAGTAGTTTGGCAGCTGGTGGAATTCTTGGGTTACCGTACTATTTCCTTAGAATCTATAGATTGTGCCAGTGTCTTTGAGCATAGTGTTGCAGACAAGAAGTAGGAGGTCAGTCTGATTTAATTTCCTTTTGAGCAGCCAAATTCTTTTTCCCCTATGAGGAAGCTTGTGGTTATTTGTCTTTGTTCTTGGAGTAGCAGGGTGCATCTGGAAGTTTGTGTTCCTTCAGTAATCCTGCTGCCCAGCCCACTGAGCCTTTCTTCAGCTCAAGGGAATGGTCTTCTCTTGCTTCTCTGCATGGCCACTAGTGTTTTGGTCATCTAGATGTTTTTTGAGGGGAGAGGTGAAAGAAAATAAATATGGGACACTAGTTTACCCCTTTCACCAAACCAAAACCTTCGTGTGGAACAAGTGGATGGTACTGAAGCATGAAATACAGGCCTTCCAGCCTCCTCTAACTCAGGAGGATCCTCTTTAGAGCCTAAATCCAATGAAAGGCTTAAGAAACAACTTTTACGCAAAAGGCCAGAGAAATAGGGCTTAGTTTAGTCAGAAGAACAGAATGAAGGGAAACTTACATACCCAGTCCCATCAAGCCTGTTGTATACCAGGCAGATGCAAGTGATTCCTGTTGGTCATTACAAAGACCATTTAACTCCAGGCATGGTGGCACACATTTGTAATCCCAGCTGAGGCAGGAGGATCACAAGTTCAAGGCCAGCCAGAGCAATGTATTGAGGTGCTGTTTTAAAATAAAAATAGAAAAAAGGTTGGGGATGTAGCTCAGGGGTAGAGCACTTGTCTGGCATATGCAAGGCCATAGGTTCGATCTCCAGTACTGAAGGAAAAAAATAGTTGTGGGCTCCATAATGCACTGCCAACCCAGGTTAAGATGCCTCCTTTCCTGGTGGTTTAAGAGCTGTTCTGTTTAAAGATAAGCTCATGGACCGACACCACCTTCTGGACTTCCTAACAGCCTTGAGATATTATGATTCTACCTCGGTACCTTGATGTTAGATGGGGAATAAACAGCAGCAGATAAACTCCCACTGTTATGAAATCTTGTTTTCACCCAGCCTTCTGGATCTTTTTTTTTTTAAACGGGAAGAGAGAATATTTTTATCAGAAGCGCTTTCTCCTGCTCTTTCAACCCAAATACAGACATCTTTCCTTCCTAAATTCCTAATCAACACCCTGCTCCCACTCTCAGTGTAGTCACAGGCACGCCCTCCTCCTCCTGGCCATCCCCTCCCCCAGTGCCAGGCAGAAGAGAGTTTGGGAGAGGAATGACAGGCTCCCTGTGGTAGGTCTTAGCCTTGTCACTGATCCTCCTGGGCTCAGGTCTGTGGTGGCTGAGGGAGAGCCAGCTCCATGCTGTGTGGCTGGTGACATTTCCGGCTGCCAGTGCCCAGCCAATCGGTGACCAGCTAGCTAGGCCCAGCTAGCTAGGGTGATGACACATGAAATATGATAATTTTCTGCTAAAGAGCCCCGGAAAGGGGGAGGGGTGTGTGTGTGTGTGAGTGGGTGTCTGGGAGGGTGGCACAGGCAGCGCTTGAGACAGGAGAGAGCGTGACAGCACTGGTCTCAGCGATTCTAGACAGGACTAGGCAAGAGGGGAATGGGTGCTGACACTAGATGGAGGGACCAGCGCCCCCCACACTCCCTGTGGCCTGGGAACCTGGTGAAGGTGAGCCCGGGAGAAGCCGGGCATTCCAAAGCTCTGGGGCCCTGGGGGAGGGATGTGTGAAGGAGAAACGGAAAAGGGCATTTGTCTCTCTTTCAAACACGAGTCAGGCTAAGAGTTTTGTTTCTCCTAAGAACTACTTCTTTCAAAGCTAAATAACAAAACTAGAATAAACACCATCTGGGTGGCTGAAGTACTTGGTGAATCTTTTTTTTTTTTTTTAGGTTGGGGTAGCTTATTCCTCTACCCCATTTTTCACATCCATTCTGTGCTCACCGTAGTCCTTAAAAAAAAAATGATTAAAAACAAAACAGTACTTTATTAACAAAATCTTGCAAAAGGGCCTAAGTCTGAATCTTCAAGATTCTGAGTTTCAGATGACTTTGGATTCCTGATTCTGGTTCGAAGAAAATATGTGTTGGGAAAAGATGTGGTCATAGATCACATTATAACGCCAGAACTGTCCTTTGGATTGAGGACATGATCCCTTAGATGATGGGGCAGGGCAAGGAGTGCCCTGCTGAGAGCCAGCAAGAGGAGTGGGATGGGGGGACAGAAGTCCCTACTTCCTTAAGTGCCTACTGTAAGCTTCCTGGCCTTTTATAAACAGTAAGGGACTGGTGCAGTCGACATTCCTGTTGACAAGTCCCCTGATCATCTGGCCCAGTGAACATGTGTGTTCAGAAGTGAAGGATCATAGTGTTTATATAACATGCTAATTCATCACTGAGAAGCCCATCCTATGTATGTCTAGATTTATGCCTTGCATTAGAATATTTTCTCTCCATGTATCTGTAATATATGTGAAATATATAATATATAGTTTTTAAGGCATCAATTAATGAAATAATCGCTACTGCGTGCAAGTCTGCCCTGTGAGGCTGTAGACATGGGACTAGCTTTCTGTTCTAAGTGTGATAGCAATTCAGTGATAATTGGTGTACTGTATCTTTAAAAGGTTAAAACCCCTTTCAAAAAGGTCTGGACTCCTAGTGGAAAGACAAGAGGCGTGGGGATGGCTCTGGATTCAGAAAACAGCTGCTGATTAGATTCCGTGTCTGAGGGCTGAATTTATTCCGTGTTTCTCAGTAGCAGGAATCCAAGAGGGATGCTTCTGTTTGGGTTCTGATCGTGATTTATATTTATTCAGAGGAATCACAGAGGGTGGATCTGTTCCCGGAGCGAGCATGCTCACAACCAGCCCACTCTCCCATTATCCCACTACCTAGTTTGGTGCTCCCGTGTACATGGCTAGTCCGTGTGCATATGTGTGTGTACAAACACGCATGCCTGCCTGGATGGACATACGTATGCAGAGGTTATTTTTTAAGGACAATTCTTTCAATAAGGTCTTTACCCCTTACTTGAAACAGGTGTTCATGAGAAAAATGCACAAAATCCCGACTGACCGGAATAATTCATGAAGAAGGGGCTGAATCCGTGGGTCAGAGAACACAGGACCAGTTTGCCATCCCAAGGCGGAAGGTAGGGGACTTTGGGTTTGTATTCGGCGGATGGATTCCTTGTGCTTGATTTTACTGATTGTGTTTTTGCCTGCGCCCGCCACGGGGAAGTGCATTCAAGAGCCGCGATTCCATTTTGTCGCTGCCTTTCTTAGGCCAGGTGTCCGGCGGCCGAGAGGCGCAGGGGCGGCTTGGTGGGTGCCCCCCCCCGGCGTCCTAGGTGGGCTGAGCGCGACACGCGCGGTCCGCGCTGGGGGAGCAGCGCGAGCCTCAAGTGACCCCCGCGCGTCAATCACCCGAGGCGGCGGCTGTAACCCTGTGCGTGTCGCGCGCTCCTGCGCTCGCTCCGCGGCGGCGGCGGCGGCGGCGGCGGCGGCGGCGGCGGCGCCCTGCAGACTCCCTCTCAGAACCCGGGCTGCCCCAAAAGGCTTTGCCTCTTTCCCCTGCTGCCCTCACTGCTGTGGCTCGGACAGTTCAGGCCGGCTCGATTGATCTCTGTTGTCTGGTTGAGAATGAGATTCGTAGGATGCTGGGTCCGAAACAGAAGGGAGAGTTTTCCCTCCCTCTTTAATCCTGGCCCCCTGAAAATAAATGTTCCTAAAGCGAAATCACACCTTCCCTCCCATCGAACCTCACCGCACCAAACCAAATACATACTCCTAGTCTGTTGGGGATTCTTGTCTTCCTGCTAGCTAGCAAAGTAGGTGCACCCTTCAATTTATGCCCCACATTTTGCCGTCGTTTGAAATGGAAATACTGAAGGCGCTCTGTGGACCCCATGAGGTTGCCGGCGCTGTCCAGTGGACTCATGAACCCGAAAGGCTTAGACCGAAGTGGTGGTGTAAAGGAACTCTCCTGGGCATTGGTTTCCTTTAAGACGGTGGGTTTGGTTTACCTTGCCAGTCAGGACTACTTCTGTGGCTTGGCCTGCCCTTGAACTTTGCAGGCAGTGGTTGCAGGAGGAGGGTCTGTGGGACTGGGTGCTGAGCGAGGAGCACTGTTGTCCTCTTTTGATGTGCACCCTGCAGGTTCTGGTGGCCCTTGCCATTCTAAGGGCAGCAGCCAGGTGCCCCCCCAGCTTGGGTTTTATTAGCCCTGGTGCTTTCTGGTGTTGGGCAGGTGGGGAGGGTGAGGGAAGGTAGAGAATGAAGTGCTTGCTGAACTGACCTCCATGGAAATGTTCTCCTGCTGTATTGGTGCGATTATGTAATCCCCACTAATGATCAGACCCTGGGCCCAACCGGCTGCCCAGCCATCAGCCATTTTCCTGCCCTCCCCACACCAAAGAAGTTACGTACTACCTTGTTGACGGCGTCTTTATGTAATTATGTGTGTGATGGGGCAGGGAGCATGTGGGGACAAGGAAGGATGATTTGAATAACTCCAGTGTGAAGAACACAGGACAGAGATTATGTGTGTCCCATTGAGTACAGGGTAGCATCGGCTTTCTGGGGTGTTGATCTGAGACCCTCCCACATCTCTTTTGGCCAGCCAATGCTTGTCTGAATTTTCAGTTGGTCGTTCCCCCCTCTTGGTTCCTGGAGAAGTTTGTACTCACTGGTGGAGGCTGTCAGGATCCTAACTCAAGGTAGAAACCAGGGTCCTGAATCCAGGGTGGCCACTCAGATGTCAGCTGCTCCTCGTGCTTCCCATTAAGCACCAGTATGAGAACAGTGCCTGTCCCACTGTGTGTGTGTGTCTAGGGGTGCTCGTGTTGCTCTCGGCTGACCTATCCTTTGGGGTGAAGAGTGGACCTCAGATGCTGGCTGAGTTCTGTGACATCTGTTCCATAAAGCTGACAAGTCCTTATTATGCACGAAAATATCAGCGGGGTTTTTTCTAAGGTAGGAGAACAGTTGACCCACTGGAATATTTGCAGTGTGACAGTTGGTTCTTTTCTTCCTCCCCATTCTGTCTGTCAAGGCACCTACAGGACACAGAATTGTTAACACAGGGCTTCCTTTCACACCCCTTAGTGCCACAGCTGGACAGATTTGTTAATTTGATGGCAAAGCCTGGCCCCGGAAGGATAAGATTGTCTTTTTGCCCTCAGCACCCTGGAGATTTACTTTAAGGACCATCTACTAAGATGTTCTATGGAATAGTTGGTAAAGATATGCTCAACCTGCGCTGTTGTTGTCCTGTTCCCACCCATTGTGCTTCAGTGGTGGCCACCCTCCTCGGAGCAGAGAAGTGTCTGCTGCCCCTGGGCCCTTGCCAAGTGAGCCACAGAGGCATTTACTGTGTGAAAGTTACAGGCAAGAAGGAGATACCTTTAGTCTGAAGTCCTGGCAGATTCCTGGACCTGAATTGATGGGAGATAAGGTTAAGAAAGCTGTGTGACAACTGGATAGCTTTTAACTTGTTTCTTACTTCCTGCTCAGTGAGTTCCCTACTATCTTCCAGGTTCTTTTCTGTGCTCAGTGCTGCCTGTCAAGGAGGCCCTGACAGGCAGGTCTTCCTTCTCTTTCCTGAGGAGTCAGAGCATGTTTACAGATCTCCAGCTGTACTGGGCACACAGGGCAGGAAATGCTGGCTATGTGAACAGGCAGCACTGGCTTCTGGGGCCAGACTTAGCTAAAGCCTTTGACCAGTTTTGTTCTTCATCTACAAAACCAGTAGAAGCATCATAGCCTTCTCAAGCACACTGAGAAGTTATGAGAAGAAAATAAAATAGGCTAAAAAAATAGTGCAGCCAATGGAACTCACATTTACAGAGGGTAAACCAAGAAAGATTTCATAAATCCATGAGCTACAGTTCATGCCTTTGATCATTGGAGGAAATTTCAGAGCCCCTCTCAGGACTCTGCATTTATTTAAAGTTCTAAGAGGCTCGACTATTACTTTGTCCAGCAAATTGGAAGAGACTGACAACTATACATGAGTTATTAAAGCTCTTTAATCAAAAAGTATGAAATAATAGTTAATAAGAATCAAAACTAAAAAATGGTACAATAATTCAAAACAAGGAATTCGGAGCCTAATATAAGTAATATAAACAATTCAATACAATTTTATATATTTTGTTGGGTCTTTAGGGCTCTCTTTTTGAGCCAATGCCCATAATGACCGAAGTATATCACGAACAAGCAGTTTCCATGGCGTTTTGTGTGTCCAATTTAAGAAGGCATGAGAATTTAAAGTGTAACCCAGATGGGTTTTTAGTATGATATTTAGTGCAGCTATCCAGGATAACAGCACCTCCTGAGGTTTCTGGACAGCCAAGGTCTTGCTGATGAAATTATATTACAACTATAAAGCCCTGCTTTTGGAATTAGTTGAGAACTTTATGATCGTCTGTTGAAATTTAGCAGGGAACTATTATGCTGTTATTAGTAGTGGTTGTGTTTTAATATTTGATGCTACTAAGAAAATACTAAGAAGATAACATTCACACCTCAATCTGTCTTGTGAACAAAAGACACACTTAGACCCCTTCCAACCTAGAGACTTTATGCTACGGTTGGAAGAGGGTGGTGATAAAAACAGAGAGGAGAGGTGTTCCCTAGGGACATCTGTTTCTTGTGACTGTGTAGGGAATGTGGATTTACCACTACCAGTGTGCTGTTCCGGCAGAAAAACAAGTTCAAGATGTTATGGCCACACCCCATGCAGAGTGGTGGTGTTTACTCAGTTCAGACATTGTGCTCAAAACTGGAAGGCTGTTCAACTTACTTCAACAATGCTAAGCTTGGCTGGACCCAGTGTCAATTTGCTCAGTTACAGTTTTCTCCAAAAGGCAACAGGTGAAACAAAAGTAGAGGAAGATGAATGCTGACACTTTTTAGAGAGAATTTTAAAATTCATTACATATGTGGAAAATGTGAAGACTAATTAAAAGAAAGGGAAGCGTATTGCTCAGTTCCTAGATATCCATAGATTTATTATTTTCCTAACTTATTTGAAGAAATTCTTAAATTTGCTAAAAGAAATAGTCGATATCAGGTCATTGAGTGCAATCAGAAATGCTCAGAACTGTATAAAGTTTCCATGTATATAAGAAAAGAGAAACTATTGCAATGAGTTGGAAAAAGAGAACTCCCTGAAATCTCAGGGGACTTGGAAGGCACGGCATGGGGGGTTGGTGGTAGGAAGTAAGTGAACCCCGCTCCCCTGAGAGCTGCTCTGTTGGGAGGGTCAAAGTTGGGAGCAGGAGGACAGTGAGGCACCTATGAGTTGAAGAGTGGTGCGACTTCTCCCTTCAGTGTCAAGCCGTCAGTGCCAGGTGCCAGGTGGGGCTGGGATTCCTGTGGAACAGAGAAGTGTGGGGCTTCACCCCGAGATATTGAGGTGATCTGAGAATACCCCCAGACTTGAGAAGCAGAGATAGGGAGAAGCAGAGGAGTCAGTCCCAGGAATCTTGGGAACCCTCTGGATATCCATGGGCTCAAGAATGAAAGTTCATTGATAAGAATAAGGTGTATATGGTTAACTGAGATTTGAAGAAATGCTCACAAATAAATAATAGAAAGAGATGGAAAAAATAAAAGGAAGTTACAGATATACAGTATGTTCTGCTAAATTTCTGTCAAGAATTTTAGTCTGTTTAGTCACTTGGACCCCTAGGCTTGACATTTGGCAACAAAGCTACCTTAAAATCAGAGAGCTCTGATAAAATAAATTTAAGATAAGGAGAATTTGGAAAACTTCCTTAATCAAGATTCACTATAGTAGACCCTTGACATGCTCAGTGGATGTATCTCGAGCCCTTGGCCAATCCTCACTTTGCAAATGCAGAAATATTTGCATAGGCTCTTGACTTCCTTCTGCATCTGGTTTTAGTCCAGAGAGGAAAGGTTTCTGTGATTATTCACAGGCCACCAGTTATTTGCCTTTTCAATTTGCACTCAAAAAAGTGAAGTTTTTCTCACATGCAGAGAGTATTCTGTGTCCCTGGTGGCATATTGGGATAGGGATGCTGGGCCTTGGAGAAGGGTCCCTCTCTAGTGAAGTGACTCCCTCTTGCAGTGCAGCTTTGCAACACACAGTTCACACTTGTGCTTCAGAAAAAAAGATAAATTA